AGGTGCCTTCTGGGAATCCAGCCCTTGTCTGAGTGTACAAGATAGAGGCATAGTTCAGAAGGGGTGTACATATATATGTTTTGTGGACAAACAGGGTACTGATGTCTGCTGGACCATGGGTCACTTCTGGTGGGCCACACAGGCTCTGGTTTTACTCTCATTACTGACCTACCTACATATATGTATATATGTGTGTATATATGTATATACACACACATAGACATATATACATATATGTGTGTATACATGAACATGTCATCAACTCTTTTAAAAAATTTATTGTGATATAATTCCACTTCAAAAACTTCTAATATCATTTCCTTTTAGAAATTATTGAGGTACTTAATGCCTCAAGCACTAAGAGGTTAAGTGACTTGCCCAGGGTCACACAGCCAGTGTATGTCAGAGGTAGATCTTGAACCTAGCTCTCCCCAACTCCAACATCATCCCTGTATTCACCATATCCCATTGCTTCTTATGTATTTTCTCATTTATGTACACCCCTTGTAGAATGGAAGCTTCTTGAAGGGAGGTACTGTTTTATCACTTGGTCTTTGTAGGGTCAGCACCTAGCCAGGCACTTAGGAGAGATGCTTTCTGGACTGGACTGGACGAAATTGGATCCCAGCCCCTCCACCTGACTCCATTTCTCTTCTTTCTCCTTCTCACTCTTCCTTTCCCTACCCTCCTCCTGGGAGCTTTGCTCTCACAGACTTCACAGAGGTACAGAGACCAGAGTGTCTCCACAGGATTAATTTAGATGATTTCCTACCGTGTTCACCTGGGTACAAATCAAGAAAGAGGAAACTCTAATCCTATTTCTCTGAAACTCTGTAATCTTCCCCAATCACTTAAATGGTGCCTGTGTGACTAATTACAGAGCAGACCAGGAGGAATGTGGCCCACTTTCCAGTCGCCCCCAGGCAGAAGGGTTCTTTTGGCCCATCCTGTGGACCCCAGTCCCTGCCCAGGACACCTGCTGAAGCAATTTGAGAAGTTCAGACTTTGGGGGGAGAGCGTTCCCCCAAATCAAGTCCATCATCCCAAAGGGAGTTTTCCTACTTGGACAACTGGAATGAATCTGGGGAGAATGAGGACCAGCTGTGCCTCCCGCTGCCCAAAGAGGATCCGATCGGCTTAAGGCATCTAGAAATTCACTTCTCCATTTCTGTGGCTGCATCAACAGGGTCCCATGACACGGCATTCTCCTTTACTCCCACCACTGGGCAGATGACTCCCAAACCTACATCTCTAGCTCTGCTCTCTCTTCCAAACCCACACCCACATGTCCCACAAGTAGACAGCTCCGTCTGGATGTTAGCCCAATAATAAAGAGATGGCCTCTTAGGTCCCTCATGATGGTTCCAGTAATAAGCACTGGCTCTGGATCTGGATTCAAATCCTGTTTTGGTAAGATGCTTACTACCAGAGTGGCTTTGGGGAAGTCACATAAGTTACCTAGGCCTCAGTTTCCTCATCTGTGAAAAGTTTCCCTTCCAGCTCTAGGTCCGTGATGCTATGATCTCCCGATGGGGTTCAGAACTGATCTGCCCCGCCATCTGTCTTCATCATTTCTATCCATGGCAATCCTGCCTCCCGTGTCCTAGACTTTGGGTTTCAGCTCTTCTCTCTCCATCAACTCATCCAAGCTGTCACTAGTCTCTGTTAATTTCAGTTCTGGAAAAGCTCTCTCCTCCACCCCTTCCCCTGCTCCTGGGGCCATCACCAAGCCAATGAGGCCTGTTAGACTCCTGATAGGCCTTCTCTGAACTTTCTTACCCACCATCAGTCCTTCTCTCCACTAGATTGATTGCTCTAGTGCATTGAACTGGTCATGTCCTTACTCTGCTCACAAATCTTTAATGACACTCCATTGCCCACCAGGCTAAGTTTTGACTTCTTTGCCTGGCATTTGAGGTCCTCCAAAATCTTTGATTACCCAATTTCCTAGCCTTCTTTATAACTCTCCATATGATTCTCTGTACTCCAGCCAGCCTGGATATATGCTGCCCTTCAATATGCCCTGTACTTGGTGCAGCTAGGTGGCGCAGTGGATAAAGCACTGACCCTAACATCAGGAGGACCTGAGTTCAAATCTGGTCTCAAATCAAATATTTGATACTTACTAACTGTGTGACCCTGGGCAAGACACTTAACCCCAATTGCCTTAAAAAAAAAAAAAATGTCCTGGACTTACCTTCTTTTCCCTTTACCTAGAAGACCCTTCCTCTCACCCTCAAAATAGGCATTTAATGTCTGCTGAATGAACGAATGTATGAGTGAATGAATGAATGACACATAATCATACCATAAGCTTTGGTAGAACAACAGCATCTCCAAACCCTGACCTCACTCCCACTCCCACCCCTTCTCATGATCTCATGCTTTTTACAGAAAAGTGTAATAAGGACAGACATTCACACCTTCAATGATACACAGATTCCTGAAAGAACTTCCGGTTCCTGTGCCCATTAAAAACCACAGGCAAAGACAGAATTTAATCCTCTTAATGGCTTCTGGGCAGAAACTGTGCACCCTGCACCCTTAGAGGCCCCCCTTCTAGACAACACCCAGTTTGCTCAGGTGCCCAGCTATTGTTTATCAATCCTTTCCAGGAGATTAAGCTGTTCCTGGGAGCTGGTGCCTTCGATGATGGATGGTGGGGAGTGTGTGTGTGAAGTGCCGGGGGGGGGGGGGGGGGGGGGGG